AATCTGTATTGTTAAACAAATATAAAATATAAATGCATTGCAATGTCACTAATCAGATAAATATATTGCGTTGTCAAAAATGTTAAAAGCCATATAAATGTAATTTATTTTTACACGTAACTGTTTTTTTGGGGGATTCCCTTTTCCCCTAACTACATTCACCTCTTTAGCTATTAAAAACGTTGAGAAGTTGTTCTCAACATCAATAATGAATATTGTTCTATATTTTGTTTAAATCTTTGTCATATTGATTATTCTGTAGCTGTGGAAGGAAATTGATACTTTCTCTTGATTTTTGAAAAACCCATTTTTCCTCACATTAGGTTAACTTTCTCGAAATATATGACGCGATTGTCACCATCTTTCTATATTTCAATAAAACATGTTATTACTTCAATATTCTTCAACAGCAAATATATTAAAATTTTTAGGTTATGCCGTTTTTTAATATTTTGAATTGACAAATAACAGCAATAGACTAATCAAGAAGTATTTAGCTCTTCTCTTTTATAAGGCTCTTCTTATTGTTTTAAGGGTATCGCCTGATTCTAATTATTAACTCTGAGAACGTCATTAAATATGTATCTTTAAAATCAGGCAATGGCTCGGAAATTTCTTAGAATCGACCTCGCGAAATCCAAATACTCTCTGCAAGCGGGCTTAAGGCGGCCACGCCTTGACACATGATTTGCGTAATTTAGCAGACAAAGACTGCAAAGTTCGTGGAATCCACCTCAAACTTATGGATCAGAGCTGTCGTCTTGGTCTTGTACCAGGCTACTTGGTTCGTCGGGATAAGAAGGACGTCTTTGCAGGTTCTACGACGTTTTAAAAGCTTTTTCAAGATTCAGTGAAAGTAGGATAAAAGGGGCTAAGATCAAATTGTATTTGTGAAGGTTGCCGTTTCGACGGACGATCTTGCAAAATTTAGCACGGACATCAACCATGGAAAGTTTTATACAGTTCATGATCATACAAAATGTCTTGAATCAACCTCATAATTTCTCGAATGAAGCAAAAAATTCCTGGAATTGATCTGTAGCTCCAAGAACAAGCGGGCTCGACGACCTTAATTAAGCACGTAGTAGAACCACTGAAGTGTCGATAAATGTGGGTGCAGTAATCTGTATGCAGAACCAGCCACCTTATTCTACTTAAATACTAACGTGAAATAGTAGCACATACATTTAAAAGAATAAAGTTAAAAATGACCACATTTTACAATTTGTCGCTTTTAATATAGGCCAATATTATTTTTCAATACTGTGAATAGTGTACACTTAACGGTCGAAAAAAATTAATATATTATAAGTATGCGAGCCATACCTGGCCGAATTTTAATGGTAATATATGATTCATATAATGGCTTTTCTACTCGAAGTATTTTAAAGAGTTTGATCAAAGTTATTTTCAGTTTCCTTTTTTTCTTATACTTCGATTTCACCGTCTTTCTTTCAACTCCTTTTCGTCGTTCTTCGAACTTTATTGCTACGATATTCTGCAGCTACTAAGGCGCCCAGGATCAGTCGTACATTCTTTCGCGCAATATCTGGTGTTACGAAATTCCAAAAATACCAACATTCTCGCCTCTTTATACCTGCTAAATCTCTCGGAATGTAGAACTATCCCATTCGCTGACATTTAAAAATACTCGTAATAATAAAACATTAATGACTTCACAGCAGTATTTAATATGTCATGTAGTGGCCACTCGATAATGACGCTTGCCGTCAACGTTGCGCATGCACATCCTCAAAAACCTTACTTACGCTCTGTGTCTTTTTCTTCTTTCCAGCCATAAAACGATTGTTCCGTCTCTTAAATTCATAACCGCTATTACCATAATCGATTTACAATTCAGTTCCATCTATCAAAAAACCAAAATTATAGATGCGGATAAATTTAATCGAAAGATTACAGATGTCTGATTATTAATTTTGAAATCACATGACAATAGAGCCATTACAAAATGGATTGTCTAAGGAAGGGCGTATCGTAATAAGGTACATCCAGTGGAATTCGGTAGAATTTTCGGTATTACAAATATAGACCTGGTGAGACTCCTAGAAATTTTTGAGAACTTTATTGAATTTCAAAACCTTAAATAAACTAAATTGAAATTTGAAAGAATAGAAGTATATGAAAGAAACCTTTTATTTAAAGAATCTTAATGAAATTCAAAGCATTTATTTATCAATTTATATTATTATTCAACTCACCAAGAATACGTAACTGCTTATCGAGCTGAAATATAGGTATATTATTTTATTTTATAATCCTACTACCGCTACTATTAAAATATTAAAGCTTCACATTTATCATGTCGCTATAATTAAAAAAGGAGAAATTTCATGGAGAAATTATATTGTGAGAAAGAAAAATGTCTCTAACATGATAGCAAAGCCCAGTTTTAGGCAGGTTTCCAACTTGGCAAGCATCGTAGGCATAAGTAATGTCTACGTCAGAGCTTGTTCAATGTTGATGCAATGTGGTCCTTTTGGCAATAGACTTAGTTTCAAATTTCAAAATCACTGTCCTTTACGATAGGCTGTAAAGTTTTTGTGAGGTCGACCTCATTTCGACGTTGAAAAGATGCATGGCGTGGAAAGGTATCGTCTTGATCTTAAAGAGATACTTCACGTTCTGAACACTAACTTTTAAAAGTACCATTCATTTTCAAATGGGTCTGGTCATTAATACAAGAGATTGGATCCGTCATAATGTATAGGATGGTCTACTAAAAACCGAGCTCCTAAATATATCTCTTTGTTGTAAAGATTTTGAAAAATGTTCAAAGTATAATTTGAATGCTCTCGAAGGCTGAACATAATGAACAAAGATTTTTTTCTAAAGTTATTTTTCCCGAAGTTATCGAGTCTCCATATTTAAAACATGAAGCTATGTTTTTTTTTTTTTTTTGTTAAGATTAGATATTTAATTAAGACTAATGTAACCTATGACACATTGATATTTTATTCGCAAATTTTTTAAACATAGTGTTTAAGCTGTCAAAAGTTCTGTTATTCGAATTCCTACATTTCCGGGAATTAAGGTAATTCGTGAATGGAAACAAATACACTTTCTATTAGCTTACTAATGGATACTATAAGTCTCCTCAAATAATTTAATTACATGAGAATAGGTGGAAAGATATAGATAGGATCAGAAAATTGATTCTTATATAAATTACCTTATTCTCGCATGTTTTGTCTACTTTTGCCATAAACGAAAATCATGTCCATTTTATCTCCTTGCGAGTACCTCACGTTTTTATACATGCAAAGATTATTTTGTTTTTTTGATAATTAAGGATTCAAATAATGTAACTTCCGCTAATGTAATAGGAATATATTTTAAATTTATGTATAAAAGCACCAATTCATCATATATCGTTGAACTAGTCTTAATTAAATTTCTTATTTTATTAAACAAAAAACATAGTTTAAATTTTTCCCTGTCAGACAAAATGATATTGCAAAAAATTCATTTTTCCGTCGTGTTCAAATTTCAAAACCATTTAAATTATACGATCTTTTCAGATCGACACAACCATATGAGATTTTTAGGTATTCAAAGTCTGATGAACCACCCTGTATAGTTTCGTTGCGAATATCCACTTCCCCCCTCATTTTTTTTTACATCCAGTTTCTTGGTGCTCTTTGATCCATCTTCATACTTTAGACACATCTCACCCCTCGGGCCGTATTTATTCTGTTTTATGTCCAGGCACAAGAAGAGGAACACATTGAAGGAGGAGAGTGAATAATGAGGCACTTGTCATTTTCGACGTAGAACGTCAGGGGTGAATATAATTTCCAGAAAGGCATAAAGCTAATCTAAGGCAGAGTCCCGACGATTTTGTAAGTAAATGTGAGTGAAGGAGAAAGAGCCCTTTTAAGGATCGTCCCTAATAGTGAAAATTGACACTATTACTGGGTCAGATCGAGCATGGTAATCCTCGCGTGAGTCTCCTTAAGCCAATTACCCTTATTATCTTAGATAATCAGAAAGGAGTCGTCGTTTCGCACTGGGAACCAAGTACCCAAAAATGAGTCGTCAGCTAATCGAGACCAATTTACAAATTTCGAGTAATATTATTATAGTCAGTTCACGAGTGAAATGTGTTTATTTGACAGATCTAATACAATAAAATCCGTGCCAAGTCCCACACGGTGTTGCATAAAATTTATATTACAAAGTTAATTACACACATGGCTTTACACTGAAATATATTAAGTGAAATATATTAAATATAAGTTACAGAAATGCATTTCAGGTTACATAGACCCATGAAATAAAAATTTTGTCAATAAGTGTCTTAAGAGATAATATGCTTAGTTTTAGTTTCAGCCAATTAGTAAAAGTAACATTCGATGTCAGTGTACATCTATAAAAAAAAAACTATCCGGTGTTCTTTAAAATTATAGAAATCCGAAAACACCAACGTTCATTGAATGGTGACTGGGTCGCGGAGCGACATAAATTTGTAAAATGGCTCCTTCGCGATTTGAATCTTCTTTACGCGGTGCTGCCCCAACAAGAAACTATTATTGAAATTCCACCCAAAAGCAGACCTGCAAGCTTGCAAATTCCATTCCGTATTTGCGTTTGCTCTACTTCCAATTGTTTGTATCTACATGCCCATGGTGTCAAATAAGATAATAAATAAATACATGTACCACGACTACTGTAGCAAATGTCTATGAATCATGCCAAAAACACTACTGATAACAAAATGAAAAAATGTAGCCAACCGGAAAGAAAGAATCGAGTATAACGATACCGATATTGGATAGGGTAGCGTGGTATAGCAGCGTGCATAAAGATCTTCCCTGCCAAGGAAGTAGATAACATAGCACACAGTAACTCCACGTCGCGGAGCTTGCGCGAACTTCGATGAGCTTCGGAGTAGGATCGTAGTCGAGGCTTGGGGGTTGGTTGGCCAGGGGATGGAATACACCCTCGTTACGTGGGAGAGCAGGAGCAGATTCGGAAGAACTCTCTGGCTAGACAGCCAGTCGCTCGCCGTTCGCTCACCGACGAACTCTCAGTGTAGGTGGCGACGCGAGTATGAGGACTCTCCCCGGCGCCATTCGCGAGACCAACGTTGGACGTTCGTCCACCGTCGTCGTCGTCGTCCTCGTCGTCGCCGTCGACGACGCCTAGACGCGCTGCGACTACGGTCGCCGGTTGCAGAAATATTCCCGTGTTAGAAAGGAAAAAAATTCTTCAAAAACTATAATAGACAGATAAAACTTCTCGCGCGATTCGATTCTCCCGGAGACCGCGATTTTTTGAGACAAGGAAAAGCTCTTTGCCCATTGGGCTACTTCCTTTTTCATCAGTGCGTACTTGACTTTTTCTACTTTTTAGTTTTTGGTGTCTTCGCGATAAGAAGATAATGCGATAAAATTCTGAAATAAATTACCGTCTACTTCACTTAACTGATCTTATAAAAACGTCCAACGAAAGCGCCCTCGGATCGGATCGCTATAACTAACAAACGAGAATTCAAATGCAATATATATTAGATAGTGCTGACACATTGTGTACAGAGTGAAATGATAATTTGCTGTATATAAATGAGATACTGGACATTATCTCATGAACTTGACTATAATCGCCAGTTTGATATCATAATCCTTTTCGATGTGTTTATGTATTATTTTCATTGTTCAAAAAGTGATCTTGGTCATAGTTAAGAGAATTCAACTTAAAACAATAAAGGATTAATTTTCAACGTGTTGCTTGTACGTTTTGCCATCTTGCGGTTCAATGTGTATGACAAGATACAGTGCTAAAGTTTAAAAAACTTGAGCGAAAGTCTGAAAGCGACTGAATAAAAAAGTGTAAGCAATGATTAAAGCGACACAGCAAGAACTACAGCTTGCTCAAATTTCTCACGTAAATGTTTCGTAAAATGTGAATAAGTCGAAGTTCCTCGTGAATGATTTTGAAGAAAGCTTAGAAGGAGCAAAGGAAAATCACTGCCCGTCCAACCCACCATATAGCAGCCATTCAGGTACTTGGGATTTCGTAAATCTCCGCACAATGCAGCCGGCAGGATCAGGAGAGTATGCTTTTTCGTGAAGTTGGAAAATATTGAATCAATTTTTCAAAAGGGAATGGAGAAGCTTAAAGCCTTCGATTGCACTTCGCTCTTGTTCAGAAGAAAGACTCTAAAGATATATACGGATGAAGTTAAAGGGATTCTACAGGACAGTTGAAAATGTCAATACGAGTCCATGTGAAACAAAAATAACCAAAATATGACAATGCTTAACATATATCACTACGATGTGGAATTATTGGCAGCCTGCTGTTGACCACGTATTGTTAGTACGATTCATTGGCGTTCAATGGACCGATTGATTTGCGAAACAAATTTCCATGCTAATTGGGGGCTAATTAAAATAATGGTGCTGAAGAAAATGAAAAATCTAAACGAACGAGCAATCGCCATGCTGCGCCAATTGTATTCGGTAAGTTGATACACACACAATTGTACGTACGTATTTCTTTTTCATTTTCACATCACTTTCTCTTTGCTGGTAAACCGAATTGTAGAGTAATTTAAAAATTCATCATGTGTCTCGTGCAAAGTTTTATCCAGGTGACTTCGTTTCATTTGCATTGCAAAAGTCAACCGTGCTTCCAATAATTACAAAGTGATCGAACATTTAAAAGTACAATAGAGTACGTAAGTCAATTACGGAACGAAGAAATGGTCAAATAACGAAAGATAACGAAGAATCTAAAAGCTCAATGTAAAGAAGCTTTTTTTTTCTTTTTCAGTTTCTCCTAGTCCCTTCATCCATTGATCGCATCACGTCGCTCTTGATGTATTAAAGGAAGGACTGCGTGAAATATATCCCAGGCATTTTCATTATCGTTTTTTTTTACTTACGTAGTATATTATACGTACCCGGATCAAAGCATAATGTAGTAATGTAAGAAGACAGTAGTTATATAGTATATACATATATATATTTCCTTAAATTGGCATCTTATCCTGCAGAACCCTCGTCGATCCGATGAAAGGAGAAATTCTTTCTTTCATAGCCCGTATTTTAGATTATCCTTATATTTTTCTGAAGGATTTAGTATAATCCTTTGAAATGGATAAATATCAGAAACCTTGAAAACTAGAAACAATCCAAACTACCAATAGGTATTAGCTTACGTTATCAAAATAATCCATTCTCATCTCAATATATACATATATGTCGCAAGCCTAATTTTCCTTCATCTAGTGTAATCTATCCCTTTTACCCTAATTTAAAAAATGGCGTATTTTTTATTTCTAAAATGTACAACCACTTGCATCGACATTACATTTGATGATGAGAAATTGATTATAAGCTGATCGAGTTTTTATAGCTGCACCCGTTGTACGTATTCACATCAACTTACAATTTATAATAAAATTTATTAGATTATTGGAAATCTGTAGTTTATCTAATATCTATACTTGCCTAATAGCTTCAGCTACATGTCGTGAAAGGACAATACGAAGGTGAATTTTACGAGCCGAGAATTTCATGACGAGCCACCAGCAGGAAATCGTGTAACGTAGGTATCATTGGAAAATACGGAATTTTCTGATATTTACCACAAAACGAAGAAGGTTAACCTTTTATCTTATGAGACTAATTGGCCAGTAAATAGCAACTATGAATACTAACAACAGAAGAGACATATCCCTGTTCCATCTATAAATTGAATATAGGGTTATGAACAATACGTATATTTATACGGTTACGTTCAGCTGATGATACAATATCATCGTTCCGTCTAAAATTTCTGCATTTATATATTATTATTCATCTTTCAGCAGCAATTTGACGAGATCTAAATAATTTTCAACGTTTCGCACGAGCTTCAAGGTAATAGGCAGCTAACCAATGAAGCAGAAAGGATATCACGTAGGCAGGCCTCATTAGTAGAGCTTCTTGCTAATTGCAGAAAATTAATTATGTAATTATTTCGTAAATTTATCTAAGACTAGCTTGCAGCGCTAAAGGCTTTCTCTTGCCCCGTTATCATTCGTTCTCCCCTTTCGAGCGCCATTCGTAAACCAGCCACGAATTATCATCCCTTTCTTGAAATATTCAATGCAACTTTTTCGTTTTTACCTACAGGGAAAATTAGTCTAAAAGTACGCAGCATCACATTTACATTATGAAATGATAAATAAGTATAATCATTGCACACTCATTGTCAGTAATTATAATATTTATTATACATCATTATAAAGTAAGTGATGCAGCAGTATATGTGAAAAAAAATAATTCATTTAATCAGTTCTCATCGTAAATGACATTTAACCGTATTTCAAGTAAATTTGGCATCAACATTTTTTTTCTAAAAATGGTCAATTCCTTTCTTTTTTAAAATGCTATCGTGTTCCAAGAGCACGCAATAACAATTTCTCAAGTGTGCGCACGTCGTGCCGTAGGGAATTGGTACTCGAACTCATACGTGTTTTATCCATCCATTTCCTTTTCTATGATTTTCCGTAAATAAACACGAATAACTACAAACTAAAATCAAACGGAAAACTTGTCTTTACTGAATATAAAGATTAAATTGAATGTAAAACGTATAAAAAACAGTTGTCCAAAAGTTGTCCAAAATCTTCACTGATTACTTCAGTCTGTTTAAAATATGTAATTTTTATGCTTGAATAAACAGTTTTTAATAGATCATATATAATATTCTTCGGCTGCCTGTGTCAGTTCTACTTTTCTATGTGCTTAAGTCTGCGTACTCCAAAAATAGATTGGGTACTCATAGGAAGTAATACACATAGCAAAATTTTTTATTGCCAAACCTTTTTTTTGCTAAAGGTAATATGTGGTCAATCAATGGAAATCAATGAAAACTCATCCATTACCCTTGCCAAAAGAGTATTGAATGGTTTTTAGTGGTAAATTTTGCTCCGGATATGCCCAAGAGTAGATAAATGCGATCCGCTGAAAATTATTAAAATTATAAACAAAGGCGTTTATGTCGATGTGTTAGAATTAATAAATTGTTTCTAGATATATATGAATTTCAATTTATCACATGATCTATATAACGTTCTGTTATACCTGAAGACAATGCCAAAAAAAATATGTTACGTGGGTACTCTAAGGTTAGTTCACCCTAAACTTTCTCCTTACCCTTTTCCTCCTTATACTTTATTAGAGGCTTCACTATTGTTTCACAGGAATGTTGCTAGTGACAATAGACGAATGTCTATTGTCAAACATTGTCATAGTCGAACATTTGTACACGTCTAAACACTATCTAAGGGTAGTCCACTGCTTAGTGTTTGCTATCCACATAACACTGGGACGTTAGAAATACGTCATATAGACGTCTTTAATCGCCACTACTGACATACGATAGACATCCATAAATCCGCAAATGACATCTTGCATACGTCATTCTGGAGTGTGTTTGTCCCACCTACGAATGTCTTTCAGTCCGTCCCTTGCACATCCTACCTGTCACTCATAGGATGTATCTCTAACATCCATCTGACAAGTTGCTTCACACGAATAGGATAATCTTATAAGGTAGATGGCTCAGTCATCGGCCATATACCGGTACAGTCACCGGTTGGCTTAAGCCGCGAGAAGCCATCCTAGTTGCATTTCTCGAGGGCAACATAACTTATGAAATGACACAACAATGGAAGTCAAATGCGCTGGAAATGACGCGTCTGCGAACAGGTTAAAAAACAATCAATCAAGCACTTTTTAGAAAAAAAGTAGAAAATAAGATAAACCAAATAACCTATTGACTATTACACGCGTGTAAGGTTCCCAAAAGGTATTGTAGTTAGTAAATATAAAATATGTAATAATCATAATAAATGGACAACATAAATGCCGACATTAAAACGACATTCTAAAGACGTCATACTGCGTCATGTTTAAGAACATCTGCATAAGACGTCTACCAGATTTATTACGCATAGCATTTTTCAACCGGACGTCAGTAGTATGTTGCAGACATACTTCGGATGACGTTTGCATGTTCTGTGTCGTGTGCGTAGTCCGTAACTGGCTGTCAGTTAGTCAAGACGTTAATAGAAATTTTTGCTGCATCTCGAAAAGTAAATGTTCGCTAAGAAATTTTGCTTTGTAATATGTTTCGCTCCATCTAAATGACAAAATCTGTAGAATCGCCGTAAAGAGTGTGCAGCTTTTGCCGGTTAAAGTCACTGACTTTCAGTCCAAATGGCAAAGCGTGAGAAAGCTTGTTCAGCTATATGTAAGAATGGCTAAAGCCTGTGCTGTCTACGATGCTTCCGTCTTGCGGCTTCATATCGCATGCACGTTTCTAATTTTTCCGCATCCTATATTTTTTATTTATTCTCACAAATGTCGAACAAGAAACGATTTCATGAAAATTTCGTTTTCTTGGAAATCTCATTTAGACACAACGTGACATAAATTTCCATCCGACGAATCCCCGTGAATAGCAATTTCTGTAGTTTTCTTATAGAACGCAGCATCACGATTGAACAAGAATGATGGCCTGTATATTTCTAAATCCTGTATCTTTAAAACAGCTTCGTGAAGGGTCAGATAAAATCCTATCGATGTGACAAAGTTCTTTTTTCTCTTTTTTTTTTAAAGTTACTTGCGCTTCGTATTTTTACTGACGTACGTATCTGCTCTCACCCTCATGCGACCCCTCGATTAAAGTCTGAAAGCGTTGGGCTTCGATGCAATATTATTTTTAAGCATTTGTTTCAAGCACACGTATACGTGTGCAATGTGGATTCATTCAAGTTTTATTTACGTTTCATATCCATCGTTTCAATCGGCTTTTGTTTAAAATTTACGGCAATGATTTTGTCCTTCACGTGATTTCTATGCACGACATTGTATATCTGACTGAAGTTTTAATGTATGACGTATATGATTAATTGGCTGTGATAACGTGAAGGGTAGATAAATGTGGATGGAAAAAGAAATTCCCTGTTCTCTCGCCAGAGCCGTTGCCATTCGCCACGTATCGTGAACTCGAATGTCTGAATTAGGTTAGCCTGCAAACTGCACATAATGATCCGTGAGAAACTTTTGGTACCATACGGATGAAGAATTTTATACTTTTGCATAAGGCAGCCGTATCCTTTTATTTTCTTTATGAATAACAGTTTTTTTTTTCTTCTAGTCTTTATGCATATATACATTTATATTTCGCGTTTCTCCTTTTCGTTTGAATATCGCATTCCTGAATGTTTTACTGAAAAAAGCATGAATTCGGGAAAAGTCCAAAATGGCCACGGCGGTGTATCTACACTATGTATTTTCTTTATAAAAGGGAGTTTACGATTCATTATTTTTTCGTGATGGGGAAGATCCACTCACGAGGGAAAAGTAATACGTAGTGAATAAATTAACGAATTTTCCAAAGTTTCGTCTCAAGTGACAACCCAACATTTTTGCTGATTACTGTAGGCAGTATATATGTATAGTTAATATAACTTGATAAATATTAATAAAGGTAGAAAAATACGAGGAAATATTTTAAGTTAAATTATGAAATTTCTTTATCTTACTTTGGTAATGAGTTACAAATTTTTGATGCTACAGAAGAACTAAATGTTCATTGCAAAATATGTACAATATTTACCATGCACTAGTAAAGATTCATAAAAAGTACATTTTCATTATAGAATATGTACTTAGGATACAGTCAATCACACATGGATAAAGTCAATTGCAAGTACAGATTTGTTTTACAGGCAGTATATAAGTAAAAATTGATCAGTGATCAGTCACTGTACAGTAACTTACATACAATGTTTTTACTTGGGGCAACTTTAACAGAAGTTGTCTTCTTTTACTTAAACCGCTTCATCACTTTTTTAAACTCTGTCAATGATTGACTCTTCGATCACTTACGAACATAAAGTAAAAGTTCACTTTATACATACATACTTCATCTCCGTGTATCACACATTTTAATACAAGGTGTGCCAGAACTACTTATACACCGGAAAGTGGGCGATAGCTGGAGGTCCCTCGACTACCATCCCGCAAAGAGTTTGTAGAAATTCACAATAGTTCCTAAAATGGAAGCATTTAAGGACTTCCGCGGGTCGTGGCTGCGTGGTGGGAGGTGCAGTTGTGTAAGGCAAAAATTAGCTGCTTCGGACGGATCGCGCGATTAGCAATAAATTGTTTCACGGTTCAAGTGCCAAGCGCATACGTTCACAGACTGGTGTGACGCCAGATTCGTAGCCCATTACGTCACTGATCTAAAACTCAAAAAAAAATAAAATACTGAGGTGTCAAAGCTCCCCTAACAAGTAATACGTCCGTCGGCACAGCGCTCACGTGAAGAATTGACGAGAAGCCGTGAGTGGGAAACCAACTGACAACAAGAACTAACAAGAAAACGTTATTTGCTCTTACTATATTGCATCGCGCCAGTATCGACAGTCTCAACGAATGCACTAGGACACTCTGTATATGCGAACAAATAGGCAGAGTCTGTCAAGATAAAATATACAGATATTGGGCTGGAAACTTGGTCAACATATTCCTTTCAGTTTCTGTGGAAGACTACGATCAGTCATTTTATCTGTTATAGTTTAGGTTTTTCTTTTTATTACAGCCAGCACTGGTATCGTTACAAAATTTTGTACACTGATAAAAAAACTTGTTAATACTGCATGAGTAATTGTTGATATTTGACCAGTTGCCAAATTCTCTTTGCCATTCATTTTCAGATACAGAGTAAGAGCAATTATTGACATGCAATTGATGTGTAGTATCGGAAACGGATTCTGTGGTGAAGGACGTTAAGAAACACGTAACGGAAATATTTCCGTTAAGTCAGGATGTTTAGTTAAGAATAGACTTATGTAACTTGTTTAGGGTTTAAAGATAGGTATGATCCTTCTCGAAGGTAGTCCGATGCTTCTCAGGAAGAATTTAATCAAAGATTATTGACGCAGAGAAATCGAAGATAAACCTGACGCAGCCTTTCGCCACATACATAGTGGATTTACTGGATTCGTTGGTTGTATGTGATCCTCCTCGATGAGGAGAGTAAGAGCACTTCCGAATTGAATAACAAATGAGACATACGTGTCGTGGACGGAGGATTTGAACTCTATATATGCAATACTTAGTTAATAAATTCATTGGGTAATTCACTATACATGCTATAATACCCACAGATGTCTTAGTAGTTACAGATTATAATAAAATCATATAAATACTAAATAAATCCTGTAGCTGTACAAAAAGAAGGTTAACTTATTTCTGTATTACATTAACTTTAATATCTGCGTCAATATCTATTGCCATTTTAAAATAACTTGACACATAAAATTAACGATAACATATTATTTACTCAAAATAACATTATTTATTAAATATTATTAACCGTCTGAAATATTTGCGGGTTTATTAGATTCACAACTAGTTCAATTTATTGTCATAATAATCATAACATTTATTTAATTCAATATTCAAAATTCCGAAAAATTTGTTTACGAACGCATCTTTATCGACTGACACAGGAATATACATATACCGATACATAAAATCAATTCAATGTATAACCCATACGGATATAAAATTATATTTTAAATTTGCTGCAAATGATCTTTTTAAATCCATATCTTTCTCTTAAAAAAATACAATGCATATACAATGAATGATTCACCCTGAGTATAAAAATTTTTACGACACGACACGTCAGTAGTTAACTCCAATGTTTTTCTCAAAGGTCAAGAAAGTCAGTATAACACATTTGCTAAGGAATAAGAAACCAATGGAGAAGACATAATGGTTAACCCACGCCTTTTAAATCAGGACTACAGTTCGTGATGAAATTCAATTTTGGTGGGTACATACCCAAGAGGCCAAGATTGCGAAGGGGAAAGTTGGCCAAGAAAGAAAGAAAAAAAAGAGGAAATGGAATTTTCTTCAACTTTATATTTGTGCGTGGAGATTTGTCAGGATGATAGCATAAATCGAAATGGCGTGTCAAGTGTACATAGGACACTGAATGATATAAGAGATCACAACGTAAAATCGTCCTTCTGAATTCAGGAAAGAAAGTCTGACGAATTTCGTTTTTTAAGATAATCGCAGTGGTGGACATACGAGCTTCCGATTCGCTCCAACTGGATATTACTGAAAATACATACATCTATTCATTAATTCATCCCCTTATTGCTTTGACGTTTGAATTGAAACTCCTCAGCATCTTCTTAAGAGTGCTTGAACGATTTCGATTAGTCGAGATTTCAAAATTCACAAAAAGTTGTCTTCTTGTGCTTTTACGTTCATGCAACGCGCAATCTTTCACTTCTCGCTGAAAAATCTTTCTAGCAGCATTCAACTGTAGATTCAATTTTGTGGGAAAAAACAGCGAGGAGAGAATAGAGAAAAGGAACAGAGAACTACTGAGGAGAGGCTGGCGACATAAGAGTGGAGGGAGGAAGGAAAGAAAGATGACATGCGCGAGAAAGAGAGGGACGAGATGTAGGATAGTTCCCTAGTAGAAAGATTAATTCACTACAAGGTGTGGAAAGTTCGCGATCCTCGACGGTATAGAGCCTGACGCGTAACGCAACGCGTTCGTTTTGCCTTTCAAAATGTTAAATATACGCCCACCCTTGAAAATGGCCATAGTGATCCTAAGAGTTGACTTTTTGTTCCAGGAATCAATAAAGTCGAAAGACTGAGAACGGAACACCCCAAGTCTCGATAGCTCTACAGTTTTTATAGACCGTAGCCCTCTGCTGCGATAGGCTGGCGTTTCGAACGAGCTTGCAGGAGCGTAGCAACGCCACTTGCCAAAGGGTGACAATGGCAGCGAAGGACGGGAAGCCAGCTTGGGCGAGACGGACGAAGATTTCGTGATTCGACGCCAATCAGCTGGTCGTACGAGGAGGGGCGAAGAGGCCAGGATGGAGGCTCGAGGAAGCGAGCTGTACACGAGGACCCTCGTCGAGAACAACACTCGTCCTTATGAGTTCCACTACCCCAACGAGACGGAGAAAACGGTGGAGACGATCGAGCGAATAAATCGATTGAACGGGAGTTCGTTTCGTAATGAAAGCGCACTCGGCAGCGCTGAACTGAACTGGTTCAACGACTCTGCCTCTGTCTTGGGCGGCTCGTCCTCGACTCCAACCACCTCCGAGAACTACACAGTGATATCAGACCTATTCGTCTTTGAGGATCTGAATGATTACATCAACAGGCTGAACTACACTGCCTTCACGAATCTCACGTATTACGATGGCACGAGCCTGAACTTTAGTGCGGGAAACAGCAGTTGCTCTTCGATCGTTTCGGGTGGCGTCAGGGTTGGGGAGTGTAGTGCGGGCGCGAGCGTCGGCGTCGGGGTGGGCGTCGGTGCGGCCGGAGCGGCCGAGAAATCCAACGTGAACAATTGGTGGGCGCTAATACTCGTCGTGGTACCCTGCCTCACGTTATTCGGCAACGTTCTCGTCATCCTGGCGGTTGCAAGAGAAAGGGCTTTACAGACGGTTACCAATTATTTCATCGTAAGCTTGGCCCTGGCTGACCTTCTGGTAGCTGTACTGGTTATGCCGTTCGCCGTTTACGTTCTGGTACGTTTATTTAATATATATATATATCTTCGGTATATTACAAAATTACTCCTAGCATGTCCTACCTTGCCTTATCGTATCTTGTCATGTATTTCACTCTCGTACCATTCTTTACCATCTGCTGTTTTTCCCTTTGTTGATTGCCTGTTATGGATGGTATACGAAGAGGGTAAAAAAACACGCGGAAGTACTTGCTGTGAGAGCTATCAGCAAAGAAAGTAGTTCTTTGGTCACAATTTTTATTCAAGGTTTGGCTTTCATCTTCAAGTTTAAGCCATTCTGTCGAAGTACAGCTATATCGCGCTCGTTTTATATGAGATTTACTGAATTCTTAAATAAAAGTCCTTTCCAGTAGAAGATCTAGAAGTTCTTACGTCGGAAGACCGAGCAGCACACGAATAATTATTTACGATATCTATACCCTTACGTTTCCTCCTAATTAGGCCTTTCGGAAAACGATCTCTACCCTCGATATTTTACAATTCTAATGCATTCATTGTCCGCACGACTAAGCGCCAAATTCATTCCTGAGTGTTGAACAACGCCAAACGTTCAAATTCGTCGGCAGACAAAGACTCTTAGGGCATAGAATCCTCGTTGATTCTGGAACAGCATGAGGTTTAGTTTTGTCGAAGGTCTCACCCTATTACAATAGTTCAATAGTTTAAACAATGGGGTGAGTCAAAGGAAAACAGTATCAGTTAATTGAAGCTGTTCGGTCAATTCCCCAAATGGCAGACTACGTATTTATCGATTGACCCCGCAGTCGGCATCGAAATGCAATTTAATGGACCGAGTCTAAGAATTATAATTATATTAAGTGCTATTATAAAAAAGGAAGGCTAATAAAGGGTCCTATTAAGTATCGTATTTCTATTCATCATTAACAGCAATAGGCGAATGTCGTATTATAGGGAATTAAATTAGCTGATGAAAGTTACTTTCGTCCTTTTAATTTATCAAAGGAACACATTTTTTCTCGGTTTACAAAATTATCCGTTTTCTTATACAATAGAAATCAACCACTCGGGCCCTTTAGTTTTTCTTACATGTTTTACCTTTCAACTGTAAATGTAAAATTCGCTTGCTCTGAAGATAAATTTATTCGAATGTAATATTAAATCCAGTTTGGTGATCTTCGATTGAATAAATCATATAAAAAGTATTAAAGAGCAATGAACGCAAGTTCCGTTCTCATATTTCTTCATTTCCTTGCCAATTCTCTAATAAAAGAAATAGAAGAAAAATTTTCACAAATCCTGATTTCCCTTTTCACACGTTTCTGCTATAAAGACTTCAGTCTAAGAATAGCATACCTAATGGCTCGTGGAAAACACTTCCGCTTTCCATCAGTTCACAGGTGCCACCATATTCAGCTGCATACAAAAGTTCATCTATCTCTCACGTGAGGAACCATATGATCGTTATCAGTACAGATTTTTGTTAGTATAATCATATTCCATGATATATAATACAATCCTTACGAAAATTTAGTAAAATGACTTTAAAATGTACGTTAAAATATTTTGCAGCAATAAGTATTTTGGAATCCTATATTAATGCGAATCTTGAATTTACTCTGGTCGAGATTTAAGCAAATATTATAAAGGTACGTGTAGATCTGCCAAACATACAGTAAACTTCATATGCACGTCTGTATACAATTCACAAGTGCAGTAGTACTAATTCAGGAAGCTTGAGACTACTTTAGTCGGGGTATTTACTAAATTTGCTCTAATGGGTAAAATGATACGAAAAACATCTGAGATTTCGTTGATCTTTCATCGCGCTGCAACTCACATGTGGGAGTTGTACCACTGGTGTGTAAACATAAAACGCAGAAACAGTTAGTGACGATAATGTTGAGTAAACGAAATAGGTTGATACTTCAAGTTTCTCGTTATTTACTTTTCATTTTGTCAGGATGCAATTGTCGAGTGTTTGTTTATTTAAAGATTACCAACGCTCGAAATAATACTCAATATGAAAATGACTGTGAAAAAATATGCTAATTAAAAAACGGAACACAGAAAAATCCATATTATGTATATTCGAATTGAAATTTTTTTCCTTCGTTCTCCCTCTATACTCTCCATAGTACTTCAACTGTACCTCGAGGTCCTATCGTTTTCGATTTCAACCCATTTTGAACCTCTCTGTTCTACTACAATCTCTCTTAATATGTCATGTTCTACCGAAACGTTAAAACTAAATTAAAAAACTCGTTTATAAAATAATGTAGTTATTTAGTACCAATAACACACATTTAGCACACGTAGTTATTTATTACCAATAACTAATTTATTTTCAGATTGGAAGAGTACATGACACGAAGTTATATATTTTTTAAGCCTGAATGAGTTCAAAATTATAACATCACGAAGAGGACTTACTATTGAATATTAATGTGAAGTTTATTTGAAAATTTTTCATATGGATAGTTAGCTTGAAATTCAATTTAGTGAAATCAATAAGGATTATGGGAAACATTATAACAAAAGGATAAAATCGTATGGCCTTAAATACTTGCTTGAAATTAATAAAAATAAATCAATAACATGAAGCTAATTTAATTTGCACATAATCATTAATCAACTAGTTATGCTTACCTTCGTCATGTGTAAACAAAACGAATATTATGAATTAAATAGGAAGGCGCAGCAGAAATGAACTAAGGGTACTCTACGGTCATCAAAGTGAAGCAGCACAAATGGAATGCACAATACTTGAATGTGTCTCCACTTTGAGTTACTGTAAAGGAATTAATTGCGAATTACGAGAAATGCGTTCTTTTTTTTATTTACAATGTGTTTAACGAGACTCCTATGAGGTCCTGTTTTAACCCTCAAAAATGAAGATGTTGAAATATGTACCGCATTTAAGGTACAAATGAGAACCACAATGGCATGGTAATACATCCTCACTAGTGTCTTCTAAGTCTTACTCAACGTAGGACATCAACGTGTAACGAAGGAAAAAAATTTCGACTCCGATACAGATATCTTTTACATATACAATAACGTCTTTATATACATATATGTCGAGAAAGTAGCATTTGCGCTATGTGCCATTGAAAATTTAAATACTGTTCTCCTACGAACCTTGACCTATTGCAACGACGTATACAACATAATGAAATGCCAACCACCAACTTTAGTAACGGTGGTGGAGTCAAGGTGGTCAAAGAGACGCAACATGTCCTGAATGCAAAAATATACCCGGTGGAGAACCTTGGAAGCTTCGATTAAAAGCTAAGGCACGCTCTTGACCGTTACGTGAGGCAAGATAACAAGTAAAAAGGCGATTGGGAGGCCTAGAAAATGAAAAAAGTATTCGTTTGATTTTCGGAATACAAAGGAGAGAAAAGAACACGAAGTCACAACATGAACAGAAACGTACCAGAGGCTCGTTTCGTTTATCAAATACGAATCAAATTAAGAAGCATCGAGCGAGCATTTGCCAGAGTTGTTGAAGATGAGATTGGAGAAAAGAGGGTAGGTAGTGGATGGCTTGGCGTGACCACAAGCAATTTCAACCCTCTTGGCCACTACTAGTCCCTATACCAGTTCTTATACACAGAATAACATGGTAGAACATGGGGCAAGGTCTACGTTAATAACACAGATCACTTCATCGCATGCGTGCTTATTACTTAGGCAAGTCTTAGTCTGCTTTGATCGGTCTTATATTGGACTTTTCAAAAGTAAGGGATATCGATAACAGAGTTGCTTTTTAAGCGAAAAATTAATAAATAACTAAAGAAAATCTGAAGACAATCAATATTAAAGTTCATAATTATTAGGGTATGTACGTACGGCTGGTGACATAGGCTACGCCTGCATTGTTAACTCAGTTAGTGGTACTCAAATGTGGTCCAGCCATACCGTATATAAACATACACGGGTCAGGCGGAGATCGTTGAGCCATCAAGTGAGCCTCCATTGCGGGTGTGGCCTGCGTTACTAGCTATGTGCTTATATGCAATTAATTGTTAACCTCAACATCGGTTATCTTCCTTTTCTGATCGGAGACATTAAAAATACTAAAAAACGTATTTCGTAACTTTTCACATGGAATCCAACCCGGGTATTACCATTCGGCGCTTCTTGAATGCAATTTAACTTGTTATAAAAAGCGCAATTCAAAACACATGGCCACTTTTCTTAAAACCATTTTAAAAGAGTGTCAGTTTTCGATGAAATCTGATACTGCTCAAGATACTGGATACCGTTATTCTGGATTGATTACAAGTGCTGAAACAGCATATTTCCGGCCACCTCGGATTGACCTCAGCGACAGTTAGGGTCTCAAATGAATTTAGATCATGTTTCCTGTGACCTTAGAATCAATTTATGGACTTATATTTTATTTTTCCATTCTCATTTTGGCTGTACTTGGTATCCGTAAGCGCGTCGTAAAGTTAAACGAACGAGAACGAATCATGTCACGTTATAATCGCTTTGCGACACGATTTAGTCGACGCTTACGAGAGAACAGCCACTATGAAAATTACCAGTGCCGTATTTAAGTTATTACAAAACGTACGGCACAATTTAGAACTAAATGTTGTAACATGTGCATAGAGGGATATAAACATTATTCCGATAAAATAACATGATCACCTTGAAATTCATAATATTCGGTGATGTAAATTGCAGGAATCCGTAGTCATCCTTCTATTTCGCATCGAAAATACTTTGGGAAATTTTAATAATTCCGAATAGGCAAAATTTCATTGACATGAATTCCAACAATGAAATTGCTTTCAGTATGAAATTTTCAGTGCTGCAACGAAACGGGAATAAACTGGCATTTCAGTGCATCGCCTTACGTTCCAAGTGGGTATAGGTATTTGCTGTTGAGAGTAGCGTGAGAAGCACGATTGCATAAAGTCGTATCTTGGCATCGTAACCCTTAACGTCACCACGAGCCATCAAGCATCATCTCCCATTCCCTGTAGCAACCACTCCCATTTCCCGTATAGCGTCGACATCTCGCCT